TTTTATTATTTTATTTTATATTTTTATCTTTCATTTTCATCTATTTTATTTTACTTTATTTTGGCGCAAAAGGTTATTCGAAAGGTATTTGGTTTCCAAAAGGGGTAGCTGCGTTAGTCAGTTTCACCAGAAACTAGGAAAAACGGCCCTTAAGAACTTTGAAGCTGGTTCTTCTTGAAGATGACACTCTTTTGGAAAAAAATTATATTTTGAGATCAACCAAAGCGCCACAAAAACATGCATACTTCTGGCGTTTTGGTTGGCCATCCTAATCAAAGTTTGGTCCAGCTGTGCCTTTTATTTCGGTTCATGGGCCAACACAGCTATAATCTTGTCTTTGTTTAAAAGTAAAATGGCTCTTCACACGCGCTCAGAGGCACTGTTTAGTAAATTCTAGGCTTGAATCATTAGCTCTGCCATTAAAGACTCATCTTTATGCCCACCTTGGCCAATCAGCCTTGAGATAATGAATGTGATGACAGGAATGTTTTCCTGAAATGGCAAAATAATAATGATTATTGACAATAAGAACAATGTTCGAAAATTGATCATAGGTCTAAATAGAATTTGTGTTTGGAATAAGGAAATGAATAATAATAGTCAGTCAGTGTTAATAATACCAGAGAATGGCATGTCAGCTGCTTCAGGGGAATTCCGTACAAGCTTCTTGTTTTTCTTAGTTCTGAAATTGGGTTCTTGAAAGCTTTTGGATTTGAAAATGCAGTACTCAACTTCTACAGAATGACTAATAGAATTTGTTCAGATCCAGCGCAGTTAGAGACAATGGACCTTAACGTGAGAAACATAAAGTTTTCCTTAATAATGAGATGACAGGAACAATTAAAATAGTTGAATATATTTCTAAGCTGCTTTATTTCTTTATATTACTGTACTTTGGAATCATTGCATCAAACCAGAAAAAGATAAGTGCCATCGTCTTAGAACTGCAGGGCAGGAAGGGACCCTGAGGATCTCATCGAGTCCAGCTCCTATCAAGGAGGCACAACGGGGAATTGAACTCCCAACCGCTGGCTCTGCAGCCAGAGAGCTAAATCGCCGAAGTATCCAGCATAATGTGGCATTGCACATAGTTAGCCTATTAAATTTACTACTGTTAGGTATGGTGATCATGGCCAACAGCTTACATATATAGAGAGAAGAAGGCTATCTGTGGTTACCCCTCATGAAGGCTGTTTATTACCTCTGGCATCAGAAGCGCTACACGCCTTACTGTTGTGGAGACAGGATTGCACTTCTGCCCTGCTTGTGGGCTTCCCATAGGCAACTGGTTGGCCACTGTGTTGGGGGGCAGCAAAGTGGCCACATTAACAGAAATGGGGGCCCTGTCTTGAATCGTATGCGGTACTGTTTGTGAAGCTGGACTTTCCGATCAACCTGGCTCACTCATCCACGCACATCTTTTTCCCCCCATGATTCTTGTTTTGAAGCACTGCTTGATTCTGGAACAGCTTGCAGAATGTTGGCAATAGAACTTCCTTCAGGTTTTACCTCCTAGGGCTCAGCTGAGCATTCTGTTTTAGATCTTCGGATTTCTGAAAAGCTATATGCTGGGTAAGGGGACTTGGTGGAAGTGCAGAATTCTTAGCAACAGAATGCAGGTCGTTTTCAAGAATGAAATGCGTAGTATTGGAGGCAGAATTGGCATAGGGCTCTTTTTTCCAGAACTGCTGAGTGTCTTTAGTGATGTGAACAGTCATGACCTATGGGCAGCATGTGCTGCTCTCCTTCATCTTTAACACTCCAAAATTCACTGCTCTGGTATTATTTTTAATTGGCTCCCTGTTCGAGTCAAAGAAATCAGTAGATTTTTGTTGCTTCAAAACAGGTGAAAGATTTATTGGTGCATTTAACAATAAACGAGTGTCCATAACATGATCTTGAGGCTTTTCTCCTTCTGCCAACGGGTCTTGAAGGGGTATCCAACCTTCAAACAGGAACGGATTTCCACAACTGGTATTCCATGGTCCCGGTAAATCTGAAGGGACCCAGTCTCTTATGGTCTGCCCCATCGAATCTTCCAACAGGGGCATCAATCTCGGGCATCAATCCACAGGGTTCGCCTCTCGGGGTCTTGATTCTCCCAAGTTCCTCCCTGTACCTCTTCCTCCTCATCTCTCTTATTCTCCATTCTAGTTTTTCTTTGCTTTCTCTCTCTACTCTCTCTTTCTCAGCCTCCTCCTCCACTCTCTTGCCTCGGCTTCTCCCCAATAAGAGGGTCTTGGTGGAATCTCTCTTCTCCTATAATGAGCCTCCTCTGCTTTAGGCACTTTTAGCCTCTCCCATGTCTCTTCTCCTTCTATAATCAGCCTCCTCCGCCTGAGGCACTTTTAGCCTCTCCCATGACCCTGTCCAGAGATCCTCCATCCACACTCATTCCCAGCCTGGCGGCAACTGCTCTTCCTTCCTCTTTACCTCCCCTATTCCTGCTTCATACTCCACCCTCTTTTTCCTCTCCTTTGCTGTCTTTTCCTCCTGAACCACCTCCATCGTTATTTTCTGTCTTTTCACTCAGTTCCTCTATTTCTGTCTCTTGCTGAGCTCTCTCCGTAGGTTCTGGTGCTGGCTGGGGTCTTGACTCCTTATTCTCATTTTGGAGGAGGGATGGCTCTCCGGCAACTGGGGTATCCCTCTCGCCTTCTGTCTCCCAGGGGGGCAATGGGGGGGGGTGGTATCCCTCTCGCCTTCTGTCTCACAGGGGGGCAATGGGGGGAGAATCCAATGATCCCCACAGATTCTCCACTTCTGCCATGGTTGTTACCTGCCATGGATGTTATTTGCAGTAACAAAAATATATGTTTTTTAAAATAGTAAATGAAGAGTACACTCTTTGTTTACTATTTTGAAAAACATATATATTTGTTACTGCAAATAACATCCATGGCAGGAGTGGAGAATCTGTGGGGATTGGTTTCACCCCCATTAGCCCTTACTGGCACAGAAGGCCACAGGCCCTCCTTTCCCAGCCTGTACTAGTTTCCTGAGCTAACATTTATTGCTGTTGCTTCTGCTGATCTTAAGCCATAGGTAGACATGATCACATTGCAGTGGAGATTCAAAGAAACAGCATTCAGGAGATAGCATGTCAATACAGAGAAATCAAGTCAGCAGATCTGAGATAAATGGGTTTAATCTAAGTATTATCTAAGTCTAGACAAGATCAACTATTTTTCATGAATAAGGTTGTCAGGTTCAACCCCTGTTGTTTTTAGTTAGTGACTGGGAAAGAAGTAGTGATAAAGATATCCTTTTGCTTGAGATCCACAATAATGAATTAATTATAGTCTGGTGCTATCAAGTCAATTCTGATTTATGGGAACCCTTCTAAGGGTTTTCTAAGTACTCAGAAGTGGTTTACCACTAAAAAAAAAACAACCCAGCCTTGTGAGCTGCATTTGCTGTACCAATTCCAAATTATGTAGAGCAAGTCTGAGTTAATACCGTAAGGAGACAGATATGCATATGTACATCTGTGCAGTTCCTCAAGTGGAGGCTTCTTAAGTGAAATCCCTAAGGTATACCGTGTTCATTCTGATCTACACAACAGTCCCTTCACATCCCTGAAATTCCCATAGGACAAAAGCAGGACTGGGGGATTTTCATCAGCTAAGATTGATGTGCAGATTCAAAGGACACAACATAGCTGAGTTTCTTCAATTAATAAGGACTCTGGAGGACAGACATGGAGTCCTCACAGTCACAATGTTTATCTAGAAATTCTGTTGTTTCAAATATCAACCAGTCTGGGTGTTATTTTTCCCTTCAGGCAAAAATATCACAGAGACTGAGGAACTCTGGAGCTTGAAACAGAATGATTACGGTACATTCTGCTCTTTGCGGTTGTCGGTGAGGCACTTATAATAAAAATGTCTAAATTACTCCTTTTATCCAAAGTTTTCCTGTGCAGCATATTGACTAAAGCCTACCAGGTTTTATTTGGCATAAACCTTTGTGGACTACAGCCTACTATTTTAAAAAAAGCGATGTCTTCAAACATGGAAAATTGAAGAATTTGGTCCAGCATGATTTTAGTTCAGTACTGTTTTTGTTTTTGTTATTATGCACTATCAAGTCATCTCTGCCCCATAGTAATCCTAAGGATGAGCAATCTTCAAAATGTCCTGTTTTCAACAGCTCTGCTCAGTTCTTGTAAACTAAAGCCTGTATGTTCCCTTAGGCAGCCCTATTTTGGTCTATCTCTTTTCCTGTTGCCTTCCATCATTCCCAGCATTATTGTCTTTTCCAGAGAATCATGCCCAAAGTAGGAAACCAAAACCCTCCAGAGATGGTTCAGTCTTGATTTACTCTCAGACTGTCTGTTTTTCTGGCAGTCCAGGGTCGTTTCGTTTCGTTTAGTCGTTTAGTCGTGTCCGACTCTTCGTGACGTTGGAAAAGAGTGTTTGTGATGACCAGTCCATGGTATCTACAGTATAAAACTCTCCTCCAGCACCATATTTCAAACAAATTCATTTTTTCACTATCAGCTTTTTCCCTGTCCAGCTTTCACACCATACATGGTAAGCGGAAATAACAGTACAGTATAATAGTGTGGGTGATGTTGGTCTCCAGTGACACATCCTTACACTTGATGATCTTTTCTAAGTCCTTCATTGCTTCAGGCATAAGGGAGAGATGTTTCTCTATCTCTTCTAGACATTGCAACTGCAGACAGGCATAAGGGAGAGATGTTTCTCTATCTATTCTAAACAATGCAACTGCAGAAGAAGAAGCTACAGGAAAACTGCTTTTACTCCACAATGGCTACATATGAATCAGTTTGTATGTCCAAACAAATAGTGATATTTGCAAACCTAGAAGTGTTTGCAAAAGACAGTGATGTAAAGTTTGATTATTTATTGCATATATACCTTGCCTCTCATAAGAAAGAAGTGCTCAAAGCAACTTACAGGTATAAAACATAAAAGTATTAAAAAGTGAAATCATATTTATCTGTGAAATCAACTAAAACTATTAAAATTAACTGTACAGTGTTGGACATGGACATGTGCATATTTTTTCTACATGTTTTTAAACAGGTCATGTCAAAGAGTCTGGTGTCTAAACATTTCCCTAAGAGCCCTACATAACTTTATAGACCTCTTAAGGAAAAGAAGCCTGTGTTCATCACACCTGGCCTTTATCCTATTTAGGGTTAGTTCCAGAATGAAATCAGACAATCATTTTCAATCATATCAAAATTCACCTTTGCTCTTTTATCTTTAATGAAATCAGATCAGGAGTCCTTCCCCAGAGAATTTTCTTCCGGTTACCTCATTGGAGAACTTCTAAACAAGTTTGAGCTTCAAGATGATTTTGATCAGTTTTCACAAAACAGGTGAGTAGCTTTAGTCCGGTTCTAATGACACGCAGTGTTGTGTATAATGCACAGTAGTTAGTATTGAATAGGGGCAGCTCCAGGTCTGGGTGGGATGCTTAGATGAGATGACCTTAGTGGGTTTCCTCTCCTTCTTACCAATTTCCCTGCCTTGTTTTCTGTGATCAATCTACGCTGTCATCAAAAGTCACGAGCACAAAGCTTCTGCTCTTTCTCATTGGTCTCCTGTTACGGCTTGCTTATTTGAAGAGAGAGTAAGTGAGCGGGTAAGGACACTGAGAATGAGGAAAAACAGGGCCAAGGGGCATTGGGATTTAGGCATGAGACTTAGTAGATATCTACAAATGCTGATCTTGGAAGCCTATCTTGATAGATTGAGAAAATGACTTCCGTTTCACCAGTTTTAATGTTTGCAAATTGCTCTTTCCAGAACACATTGGAATGCTTCCCATGTCATGCTGAACCAGAATTTAATGAAATATGAATGAACTGGATATTGCAGCTGTGATCCTTAGCATGCCATGTTTTCCTCTCCTACTCCTGCAGAATTGGAAATAATGCTTTAGCACTTTTGTTGAATCTTGACTTACTGAGTCATCCCAATTAGAGCTCATGGTATAAATAAATTCTGATTCATTTTGAAACGGGTCACCTTTAGAAGATAACTTATGAAGCTCACCTGTTAAACCAACCAAACAGATCAGGCAAAAACAAAAGAAAAATAAAAGATAAAGAAGACAAAAACATTTAAAGAATAACTGCTACATTTTAAGGTGAGCTTTTGTGGACGAGTCCATTTCCTCAGACAGCCCACAAAAGCTCATATGAAAAAATAGCACTTAGTCTGTAAGATGCCACAATATTGTTATCGCCTTTAAAAAATATTTTCTTTAACTTTTCTTTAAAACTGCTAATCAGACAGGATGCATTATAAACCACAACCTCCACTAAGATGGTATAAACACCTGATCATAGTCTTTAAGATGCCACAATATTTTTGTCGTCTTTAAAAAAAATCTTTTCTTTAATTTTTCTTTAAAACTGCTAATCAAACAGGATGCATTATAAACTACAACCTGCCACTAAGATGGTATAAACACCTGATTTAGAGGAAAAGTGAAGCTAAAAGTTACTAGAGTCCTGGTCATGCAGGAGGAGAAGGGAATGGTGGGCACCTCTGTGCACATCCCACTAAACCATGATTCAGTGGGACCTGCAAACTGGGTCCTCCCTAGTGCTGGAACATGAAGTATTGTTTTTGATTTGAGGAAGAGAAGCTCGGCAGCACCACATGAACAAACTATCTACAGTAGTCCAGTATGATCTCCATGTATGAAACCAGCAAACTGCAAATAACTTAGCAGCTATAGAGTTCAATGAGAAACACTTTACTAATGTAGCTTGAATCTAATATATTGGCTATGGTTGCCCCAGAACTTTGATTGTTTGTTATGCAGCTGATGTTTAGCTATATTATTCCCACCTCACCACTGAGCATTTTTTATTGAAAGTTCTTGTGCTTGCAGATAGGCTTTTGGGAAGATTTTCATATTTTGAAGTCAGCAATGTAAGGACTTCTTTATTTTGTGACTTGCACTTCCAGGCTTGCCAGTGCAAAACTTAACAACTTTTCTCGAATGGAACCCACCCTGCAACTTTTGGGTGTGCAGTTTGATCAAAATGTGGCCAGAAACATCATGACCGAACAGCCTGGGGCTGCTACCAAGCTTATATACCAATTGTACGTGGCTCTGGAGAAAAAGAAGAAAGCAGGGCTCACTGGCGTTGCCATGGATGCCATGAGACCTTCAGCTCACGCAAAGCTGAAGGGCGTGGGAACGGAGATGTATCGAGAGGTGAGTTCGGTTTGCTAAGGACACTTTTCTAATGAGAGAGTTTCTTTGGCATATAGCGTATGAGCATGCTATTTTTGTTTGTTCTGCTTCATTTTTGACAATGAGATGTGTTTATATGTGTTATTTTTTATTCCTCTCCCTCATCAGAAATGGATGTCCACGTGCTAAAGTTCCCAAAAGTAAGATCTAGCAAGATCTTCTGATGTTATCTCTGATTTAAAGCCTGGAAAACCCCTGGCATAGAAGTGATCTGTTCTTTGCATCCTAAGAGCCTGTTGCATGAAACTGGAGCTGATATCACACTTTTATACTGTGTCCTATGCCTGGAGGCCTATAAAGATGTATAGCTTTTGGGGGGAACACTGCCTCTTTTCTGTAGATTTTGATATCAAAAGGACGTACAGTGGTGCCCCGCCTAAGAGCCTGTTGCATGAAACTGGAGCTCTGCTTTGTATCTGGGAGAGCTGTTGAACTGGACTTTATTCTTTAGTAGACACCTTCGTGGCACTGAACTGTAATTTGTAGGATATGTGGGAAAATATCTAAATCAGTAAGAATTATACATTTCCATAGCCCCAGCAGTGGTTGGAACACAGCCCCTAAGATCCTTCTCTAATTGGAATTTGGCTGAGCTGGAAAAGGTTCCCTATACCTGATACAAAAGATATGCTGATTTAATCATTTACTGATATCACACTTCTATACTGTGTCCTATGCCTGGAGGCCTATAAAGATGTATAGTTTTTTGGGGGGAACACTGCCTCCTTTCTGTAGATTTTGGTATCAAAAGGACGTATACTTTTATAAACTTTCAGGACCCGTTAGATCATCGCAATGCGATCGCATTAGCGCTTGCCAAAAAATGCATCGCTATGCGGATTCGTTGTTAAATGGTGCGCTCATTATGCGAGGCACCACTGTATACTTTTATAAACTTTCAGGACCCATCTTTCCAAGGTCAGGTGGGCCAGAAAGATCAGAATCTCCTTAGTGAGGGTGTCCTTCTTGTAGAAGCTCCTTACTCTACTGCTTTCCAGAGGCTGGCTGACAGCTCATTGGTTTTGTTCCAGGCCTACTGGGAGGCTCTCATGGAATTTTAATACTTATGAATTTTTCACTACCATGTAGTACTTTCAGTGCCAATACAAACTCCAAAAGAAAAAAGTGTGTGAGTGAGTGACATACTATATCAGATGGATCAATTTTCCTTTAGCCTCTGGGTAAAATTTAGAGAAAAATATCAGCATGTTAGCATTTCACTCTCCCCATACCACAGAGGCAGGGTGCTGAGTCAACTGTAGTTTCTTTGTACAGTATTGCCTTTCTAAGTAACTCAGATAGTAACATATCGAACTTTAGTGTTAAAGTGACATGACACTTTGAGATGGTTAGATACTGTAAATATTTAGCATTTTCCCTGGTATTAGAGAATGCTAGTTGATGAGCCATAGGTGAGCAGATGCAATGCAATTGCTATGACTGAACACATTGCATATGGAAGTTCACAGTTTCAGTCACTGATATCTCCAGTTAGAAGGGGCAGGTCAACAAATGATGGGCAAGGTCTTTTTCTGCCCAAGATCCTGGATAGAAGATACCAATCAGAGTACACAGGGCTGGGCTAGATTGAGCAGAGTTTGGAATATATATACTTTTGGGGACTACAGTTCCCAGAATACTCTGGCCAGTGAGCATGACCACTGGCTTTGATGACTAGAGAATACTTGATTAGAGGGCCTACTGTTCTGACTCCATATAAGGAGGATTCCTATATTTCACTGTAATATATAATCAAGGTGTCTTCATTTCATTTTAGCGCCTTAAATCGCTTGTGCCACGTCAAGCAGATCTGTCACTCCAGCAGATTTCAGACAACTTTCACAACAGAGCCAAGAATCTGGAAAACAAGATAGCTTCTATGCAGTTTTTGAAGCAAGAGCAAGAGAAGAAAATCCAAGATGAAAAAAAAGCTCAAGATATGGAAAAGGTGAATTGCTAATTTATTTTTTAGTTTCTTCACCAAGGCTGCAGAAAATGTTTTATCAGTTGGTTCATATTGAAGCTTGTGGATTTCCTGGTAAAGTAAATGCTTTGAAATTGCAATCTTAGTTGGAAACAAGTGTCATAAAACTCAGTGGGAATTATTTCTGAGTCATTGCGCAAATGATTTTGTTATTGGTTGTAAGGAAAAGAAATTATAGTCTTTTCATTGAATTTCCGTTAGACCAGGAGGTTAACTTCTTTGGTGTTTTATTGAAGTTGGTGCTAGTGAGTAATCCAGAGGGATTTAATTGCTGTACGGTTGATGGGGCTGGTATTCACCTTTTCAGTGGATGAAATTTTTGACGTTCTTCCTAGATGCTGTTGGAGAAGAAGGACCTGCTATTACTTACTTTTATTCATGTGATGAATCTTTCTGCTTTTCTAGAGGATGGATCTCAGCTAGGTTTACTGATGCTTGCCTGGCAGGGAGTTGATTGTTGTAGTGCATTTTTAACAGAACAACGCTCGGACAACTTAGAAACTACATAGTGATAAATGCTACAGTTCACCTGCTGATGTGAGGAGCTTTGCAATAAAACATTGGTTGCAGAGCCTGGAAGTGTTACCTTTTGGGACTATAATAATAATAATAATAATAATAATAATAATAATAATAATAATAATAATAATAATAATAATAATAATAATAATAATAATAATAATAATAATAATAATAATAATAATAATAATAATAATAATAATAATAATAATAATAATAATAATAATAATAATAATAATAATAATAATAATAATAATAATAATAATAATAATAATAATAATAATAATAATAATAATAATAATAATAATAATAATAATAATAATAATAATAGTTATTTCTAGCCATCAGCTCATTCCTCTTTTCAATGGCTATTTAGAAACTTGTGGAAAAACGAAGACAAAATGAAATAATGGCTAAGATTCAAGCAGCTATTATCCAGATTCCGAAACCAATGCCTCAGCACACTATCAAAGCAATAGAGGAACAAAAATTACTGAGAAAGAAGAAGGAGGCAGAGGTAAGTTTTGATGTTCTACAACTGTGTTTCTTTGAAAAGTACCATAAGCAGTAGAATGCATTGTTTATTTGATAATCTGGCACTGCATTCTAAATGCATTCAATAGAAGGGAAGCATTGCTTTATCTGATGTAGTAAAATGATGTTTCTAGTTTTATTCACCACGTATCTATATTTGAACCATAATACTTGAAGGCTGTGTATATATTTGCATAAATAGGAGAGGTATTCTTGTACAGTAATGATGTGGTCAGATGGGGAAGTAATTTATATTTTGGACAGCTCATAACATAGAATCATAGAATAATTGAGTTGTAAGGGGCATATAAGGCCATCGAGTCCAACTCTCTGCTCAATGCAGAAATCCAAATCAAAGCAGAAATGACAGAGGGTTGTCTAATTTTCCCTTGGATATCTCCAGCATTGGAGCACTTACCGTCTCCCGAGGTACAGCAATTGGTTCTATTGTCATACTACTATAACAGTTACGTTTTTCCTTGTATTCAGGCTAAATCTGTCTTCCTGTAGCTTGAACTCTACGTGCCCTGCACTCTGGGATGATCAAGTCATCTGTAGGACGACCTTTCAAATATCTGAAAAGTGCTTTCATGTTTCCCTTCAGTCTTCCTTTCTCAAGGCTAATCACACCCACTTCGTTCAGGTCCAATGTGAGCTGGTTCCTAGGAATGACATGATGCACCGGAGATTATAAATCAGCCTTGCACTGATCCGTGCCAAGTTGAACTTTTTTGGTCTAGCAGCAGGTCTATTCTTTTTGGGCGTCAGGCTGCATCAATTTCTGCATGAACAGAATAGTTTTGACTTGTCAATTTTGTGCACGGTTATCTAAGTTGCTCTAGTCTAGAAGGAGATAACACTAGTATGAGTGGAAATATGCCTTGCAGGTTCTAATTACAGCTGGATAAACTTAGTCTGCTGATAATGCTTTCTGCTATTTCACTCCCTTGAAAGAAGGAAGGATAGGCCTGTGTCACTTGCATCAACCCATGTCACTTCCATGTACATTTTACTCATCGAAGGAGATAACACTAGTATGAGTGGAAATATGCCTTGCAGGTTCTAATTACAGCTGGATAAACTTAGTCTGCTGATAATGCTTTCTGCTATTTCACTCCCTTGAAAGAAGGAAGGATAGGCCTGTGTCACTTGCATCAACCCATGTCACTTCCATGTACATTTTACTCATCATTCCGTTCTGGTTCTGCATTGCACTGCAGTTTTGAAAATAAAAGTTTTGAATGTGTATCATCACAGCAGGTGAGAAAAGGTGCTTCTTTTACAGGGGTTGGGGCTGAAGTTTTTCTTTTCTAGACAACATCTATTACAGAAGCTTGGTGCGTTGACGGTGTTGCTGTGTGTGTAAAAAAAGAGCGGCGATTTGCATCAACCCATGTCACTTCCATGTACATTATACTCATCATTCCGTTCTGGTTTTGGATTGCACTGCAGTTTTGAAAATAAAGGTTTTGAATGTGTATCATCACAGCAGTGCTGAGAAAAGGTATCTTTTACAGGGGTTGGGGCTGAAGTTTTTCTTTTCTAGACAACATCTATTACAGAAGCTTGGTGCGTTGACGGTGTTGCTGTGTGTGTAAAAAAAGAGCGGCGATTTCAAAATGACCCGCTGGAATCGATATATATATATTTTTTGTGTCGATTTCTGGTTGTAATTGGTGCATTATATAGACAGGCCTTCCCTTCAGGCACTACGTGACTTCAGGGGTTGGGGCTGAAGTTTTTCTTTTCTTTTCTGGACAGCATCTATTAGAATCTCATCACCAACATAAGCATACTGGCAGGAGATTTCTCAGAGTTCATACACTTTTTCCAAGCTGCGATTCACATATTAATATGCCAAGAGATCTTGTCATTTATTAACATGTAGTTAAAATATACTTCCTTGTGTCCTAGAACACATATGCAGAAATTAGGAAATTTGAGAAGCAGATGAGAAAAGAAAGTGTCGTGCCCACCAAGCTTACAGAGAGGTAAGTAATTTCCTTTCGGCAAATTCATTGTTTCTTTCACTGTTGCATTACATGAAAAAAGAAGCAAGCAAGGGTTTTCTAGTCCTGAAATTGCCTATCATCTGGTTACTAAGCACTTTTGCTCAGTAAACACAGTAAAGATTAGACTGAACTAAAAGGTTTATTGATGGGCATACTATGTGCTCCCTCTCCCCCCCCAATTGAAACCGTGTTGCCTTAATTGCTTCTAGGAGTTGCTTACACAGATGCCTTTTCATTGTGCAGTAGGACTCAGAGTTTACAAGACTCCCCAGCTCCCCAGTCAGCATGACCAGTACTCATGCTGGCCAGGGGATTGTGACACTTGCAATCCAGAAAAGCAATCTTTCCAAACTCTGGTTAGAGTGATACACCCAGTTTCGGGATCATAGCATATATTCCTGTTCCAGTATGCAGAAGTGTCCTGTAATTGCTGCAAAATATCAGTTCTAGATTCTGTTCAGAATGTCCTCCTTCTGCAGTTCGAATCATGGGGGGCGGCAGGGGTGGGAATGAGGCTACTGGCCTGGCTTGTTCATTTGTGTCTTCATTGCTTGTCTCCACAGCCCTCCACCTGTTGGAGGAATAATCTTCCTCTGGAGACGTTTGTGATTTGCATCTCTAAGCCTAGTGTGGCCAGATTTTTCTTCCCTTCCTTCACATACTCTGAAAACCAGGTCTAGAGTGTTTGCCAGCCCTCTAGAGCAGATTTTGTAAGCAGATGGGGACGGTAGTGGGAAGGAAGGGAAGCACCCCCTCCTAGTTTCACTGGCAGAAGCTGTTTCATTCCCACAATGACACAATTCAATCCTGCCCAGATTGTGCAAGGTTCCAAACTGCAAGAGGAGCCAGTGTCTCATCTAATACAAGATAAACACTTCTGTTGTATAATATGGCCTCAGGCTCAGTTTGGTGTTGAAACTGGATAGTTGAGGTGCAAGACTGTTTACCAATCTGTACCATAATAAACAGCCTCAGTGGAAGAACAAATCAGGGCAACACGTTCATGAATGCACTCATTTGAAAGATCTTGTAGAAAAGATTTTAAGATTGGCTAGATATTCCATTGGATGTGACCTAGTCCCATCCAAGTCCGCCTCTCAACCCAAAGAAAACAAACTCGGTGCCACATCTAACTTGTCTCCCCATTACTTTTATTTCTTCCCACCCACCTCTACCTCATGTCCCTTCTGCTCCCTCAGTTGTCTTCTTAACCTTTGATGCCAGTAAAGTTGTCATTGACCGATGCTTGCTTGGTTTTTATTTAGTCAGTAATAGCTATGCTTCACTGGAGTGGCTGAGGCTAAATACTTTAGCTATTTCTGCCCCAATCTAGCTTGCCACCTCTGCTGATATAGTACTGGTTTGTAACTGAAAGCAAAGTGCAAAAGGGCCAGTCATATGCCCAGAGTCATGTCTGGTTTGACTTATATTATAGGGTCAATCTAGATGTTAAGGGGAATATGAAGTCCCTGCAGTGGACATGATGCCCATCCTATAATGAGTTTTTCTGAGAGAGCCATACCTCAGCAGTCAGACTTGCAAATTAAGCCTATGTTTATCTTTCGGTGATCCATCCCAAAGCAGAGCACACTAAATACAATATATTGTATATAGGTGAGGAAAATCACATGCGATGACAAACATACATACAGTACAGTATTTAACTACTTTAGGGAGTATCTCTTCTAAAAACCATGCTAACCCTATCACCTAATTTGACTTGTAATATTTGTAGGAAGGTAACCTATAATTCTATAATTGTTCTTTCCATTTTCTTCATCCATGGCTCTGTTGAGTTCTACCTGTGAAATGCTTCTGGCACTTTTGTACATATGAGGGAGAAGCAAAACATATATGTGCATGTGCATGCGCGGTTGGAACCTTGGGCTGCCAGGAATTCCATCATTGTAAAGCATGGGGAAGGCGAACTTATACAAGTAAAAATAAAAAAACAGAGGCCTTCCTCCCTTTCTTTTCTTTAAACAATTTTTGCTGCTAGTGTCACAGAAGCATGCATGCAGCGGTTACAGACTATCTTTACCTTCAGTACCTCACTCTAAGGGAGGATGTAATGTCATGGCAAATAATGTCTTCTTTCAAAGCTAGGCATTGAGGGAGATGAGCCAGGATTAGGCCGCAAAGGCTGCAAGACAGTTTCTGAACTGTCCCATCTCCCTACCTGTTACATTACCTTGCAGAGGACTGATTAAATTAGTAGTGCCATGAAAGTTCTGATGAAGATGTGATAGAACAGACAGGAATAGCTTCGTTTTGCCCTTTCTATGAAACCTGTATGTTACACTTCATCTTTCCAACTACTTTCTTAGCATGATGCAGGTGGTAGCGCATGTTCAAGAACTAGATGCAACAACCCCAGCCATTACAGAGCTGTTGAACACATACTCAGATGACGAATATATCAGGAAAATTCAGAAACGTCTTGAGGAGGACAGCTTTGCACGTGAGCAGAGGGAAAAAAGACGGCGGAAGATGTTAAGAGATCAACTGATAGCCCATGAAGCACAAGAAGTGAGCTTGATGTGCCCCTGCCTAACCTTTAGATGATGTTTTGATATTCTTGCATTGATTTGCCAGTTTGTACCATGATGCACAAAAATAAACCAAAGTTAGCTGTGTGGCTGGGTTTCCCTTCTCCAAAAATCCTCAGCAGAATGTATGCTTATTGTGCATACCATCAAGTTGATTCCATCCTATGGAGACCTTGATAAGATTTCTGAGGCCAGTGAGATATTGAAGGAATAGTTTTACCAGTACAGCCCCACCTGTGGGAGTTTCCTGGGCTAAGGCATGGATTTGAACTAAGGTCCCTTCAGTCCCAGACCAACTCCTCATGGGAAAAGCCTTCTGTGCCAGCTGCACTGACATCATCCTGGCACAAGCCTCTAGGGCTGATGGACCTCACCTCTGCTGGCAGAACTGGATCTGAAGAGGCAAAAAGTGGACACAGAGGAAGAGCAGGGGAGAAGCCAAGTTATATCAGATCCAACCTCCCACCAGCCCAGATTGGTCAAGGTCCGGGTAGTCTTCTAAGTAATTTCCGAGGTGCCTTGGTTTGGAAGGATTTGGATTCAGCACTGCTTCAGTTGGCTTAGATTCAGCTCAGTCGGTCCTCAGTCATCTTTGTTAGGCGGGATTGTACTTAAACATAGAAGAAAGCCATCTCTCATGTGCCTTACAAGTAGATCTCCATGGGTAACACTGTTCTCAGATAGGCCTTTCTTAAAAATCTTAACATCTCTGGAGAGAGGCAGAAGAAGAATCTGAGTTTCTTTCTCCAACCAGCAGGCCCTTGGCACAATCTAAAACCAGCTCAGCACCCAGCAAATGGTAGTCTTCTGTACAGTGCAGTCTTGTGCAAGTTAAGTCTTCTTGATTTATAAATACAGGTGTCTGAACCCTACTGTATGTTTTAATTTTTGACCCACATACAGTGGTGCCTCGCTTAGCGATGTTAATTCGTTCTGAAAAAATCGCTGCTAAGCGATTTCATTGCTATGCAAAACACGGATTCCCATTGAAATGTATTGAAAACCAGATAATCTGTTCCAATAGGAACGAATTGCCGTCCTTAAGCGAAAACCACCCTAGGAAACATCGCTAAGCGAAACGCGGTTCCCAAATTGAAATGCATTGAAACCTATTCAATGCATCTCAATGGGGGAAAAATACAACAACAAATTTAAAAAGAGTCAGAACAAAGTCAAATTTGGTTAAAAAAGGGTTTATTAAGTGCACTTTATGATTTCAAACATTTTAAACAATAAACTTTAACTTTATAAATAACAGAAAAGCATTTTAAAAAACAGCAAACATGAGGCTGTTTAAACCATCGTTAAGCGAAACAGGGGACCCAAAATTTAATCGCTATGCGAAGCATGGTCCCAACCACCTCTAAGCGAAAATCGCCCATAGGGACCGTCGCTAAATGAAGCGCAAAAAGAATAGTTTTACCAGTACAGCCCCACCTGTGGGAGTTTCCTGGGCTAAGGCATGGATTTGAACTAAGGTCCCTTCAGTCCCAGACCAACTCCTCATGGGAAAAGCCTTCTGTGCCAGCTGCACTGACATCATCCTGGCACAAGCCTCTAGGGCTGATGGACCTCACCTCTGCTGGCAGAACTGGATCTGAAGAGGCAAAAAGTGGACACAGAGGAAGAGCAGGGGAGAAGCCAAGTTATATCAGATCCAACCTCCCACCAGCCCAGATTGGTCAAGGTCCGGGTAGTCTTCTAAGTAATTTCCGAGGTGCCTTGGTTTGGAAGGATTTGGATTCAGCACTGCTTCAGTTGGCTTAGATTCAGCTCAGTCGGTCCTCAGTCATCTTTGTTAGGCGGGATTGTACTTAAACATAGAAGAAAGCCATCTCTCATGTGCCTTACAAGTAGATCTCCATGGGTAACACTGTTCTCAGATAGGCCTTTCTTAAAAATCTTAACATCTCTGGAGAGAGGCAGAAGAAGAATCTGAGTTTCTTTCTCCAACCAGCAGGCCCTTGGCACAATCTAAAACCAGCTCAGCTCCCAGCAAATGGTAGTCCTCTGTACATTGCAGTCTTGTGCATGTTAAGTCTTCTTGATTTATAAATACAGGTGTCTGAACCCTACTGTATGTTTTAATTTTTGACCCACATACAGTATTTATTTATTTAATTTATACCCCGCCTATCTGGTCATTGCAACCACTCTAGGCGGCTGGAGACATTGATAGGAGAAATAATTTAAATATATTTATTTACTTACAGTTGCTTGAAACTACGGGGCCGTGTGTGCTGCTTTCTTTACCGCACACATATCTAGCAACCTTCCCTCCAAGGTTTGATATATATCAATATAGTAAAAGGCTGGAAACAGGGAGAGGTTACTATTGTATTCCTTTTAATTTTAGGAGGCTTATAGAGAAGAGCAGTTAATCAACCGGCTGATGAGGCAATCACAGCAGGAGCGAAGAATTGCAGTGCAGCTCATGCATGTACGGCACGAGAAAGAAGTGATGTGGCAGAACAGAATTTTCAGAGAAAAACAGTTTGAGGAAAGAAGGCTTAAAGAATTCCAAGAGGCCCTTGACAGAGAGGCGGTAAATAGTCTCATTTTCGTCATCATCCTCTTCTTTGCTCTATCATTCTAAAGCCTCGATGGTCGATGGGTTGGACTCCATGGTCTTCTTCTTTCCTTTCCTTTGACCCTCTTTGTTTTTGTTTTTTTATAATGGACAAATGGAATAAGTTCATCTTGATTTTAATTCACAGCTTGGAAAAGTCACCTTTTTTAACTTCTTCCAGAATCCCAAACTAGCATAGCCAGTGGACCATTACACATGTATTGTGGCTGCCCAGGATACTTTAGCGGGGAGATTATTTTGTTGTTTTTTAAAAAAATTGCTTTCAGTGAGCAATCTAGACTGTGGGGTGAAAGGCCCTTAAGTTGTTTTCAAAGAAGACCATGTAACTATCAGGAGACAATAAATTTAAAAATGTTTAAGTCGCCTTGGTGAAAGAGAATGATACACATGCTCACCCATGTCCATGTCTACTGCCTTCTCACTATCACTTTTCCTCTAGAGAAAACTGGACACATTTTTCTTTTTTCAGCCCTTTGTCAGAATTAGAGGACATAAAGAGAAAATAAAACAACATGGTAGAAAGACTGGGGAAGTATGGTCTTCTAGGTGTTGATAAACTACCACTTCCAGAATTTCTCACTATAGAACCTCTGGTGGGGACTGATGGAAACTGGAGTCCAGGAAGACCTGGAGAGTCATGGCTACTGGGAGTTGTAATCTCAAAAGTAAAGTTAAAAGAAGCAGGCGTCTTTAAATTTTGTGGCTGCTGTCACCATCTGCAGTGATCAGGGAGCCCATGAAAGTAAAATCTGTCACTGCCTCCATATCTTCCCCTTCTATTTGCCAGGAGGTGATGGGACCAGTGGCCATTATCTTCGTTTTTTGATGTTGAGCTTTGGACCATTTTTTGCGCTCTCCTCTTTCACCCTCATTAAGAGGTTCTTTCATTCCTCCTCAGTTGCTGCCATCAGAGTGGTATCGTCTGCATATCTGAGGTGGTTGACATTTCTTCCGGCAATCTTAATTCTGGCTTGGGATTCATCCAGTCCTGCCTTTCGCATGATAAGTTAAATAAGTTAAATAAGCAGGGGGACAATATACAGCCTTGTCATACTCCTTTCCCAATTTTGAACCAATTATTTGTTCCATATCCAGTTCTAACTGTTGCTTCCTGACCCACATATAGATTTCTCAGGATCTGTTGCAGTATACACAAGTGCTAACACAACACACCAACACCAGGGCATGTTTTAGTGCAGCTAGCACTTGCTTGGAATGCTCCTGGCATTAAAAATCATTCCTCTTTCAGTGAAGAGTTGTAGTAGATTCTTGTGTTATAGTTTAGGAGATATTGAACTTTTTTCTATGGACTTGTTCTACTATGATCCAGCCAACTTCCTGTGACACACCTTTCATGAGTGCCGAAGATCTAAATAATCTAAGCAAACATATGCAGTGCAAGACACACATTTTGCAGTGGGAGCCAATACAGTGCAGTCAATAATGTCTCATCTTTGCACAATCAGTTTGCCTAGCATAACTAATAGGCTACAGTTTTGCACAGATAGCTATGTAAAGCAGCCGCTATTTTCAGCTATGTTTCTGAAATTGTATCCTCATGCCTGGACCACTAGAGGCCACCATTGTAATTTAATTGTGGTGTATCAGAAGAGAGCACCCATCCATGATAGAGGTAGGGAGGGAGGAGGAGACAAGAGCTTGGAGTTGGGTACTAGGAAAAATGTACCCATAAATATATTAAAAGGCATGGATAAAGAATAGCACAAAATGGAGGAACAGGATGAACAGCCATGGAAAATAATAATAAAGTAGTACTGTTTATTTACTGTACAACTATTTATTTATTTAAAAATATTATCAATTCTTACCCTATGAGAAGCCCCCAGAATGATGCCAAATCACAAACAATAAAGGCATCCCTGAAAAACAGATGAAAAGCTATATCAAAACCAATTTTAAAAGTTTGTAAAAACACACCAAGAAAACAGAAAGCTAACTCAATCTCATTATTATGCACCAGAGACCATACAATTTTGGCTGCATGATGGAAGTTCTTCAGGGATGGAACTAATCTTACTTCTTTTGGGAGGCAATTTCACAATAGAAATGCTGCTGTGCAGAAAGCTCTGTCTCACATACTCACCTGCATAGCTTCTTGGGGAAGAAGGGTTTCTGTTGAAGATCAAATCTGAAGATCAAATTCCAGGCAGGCTTATATGAGAGGAGGCATTATTTCAGATACAGTATCTGCCCCTAAGCTGTTCAGAGTTTTGTAGATCAAAACCAGCACCTCAAATTGAGCTCAGAAGCAGATTAGAAACCAGTGTAGTTGGTTCAAGACAGATGATATTTGGTCTTAGTTTCCAAACAATTTCTAAGGGCAGTCCACACAGAGCACACTACAGTAGTCTAATCAGTAAGTAATCAAAGCATGAAACTCTCCAGCCAACCTCACCTTCCTTTGGAAGGGACTCAGCAAGTGTACCAGCTGAAGCTGAGCAAAGACGTTCCTGGCCATGATCTTTCAGTAGAAATTAGGTGCTTGCGTCTAACAATCAATAGATTTTAAAATCTCATGTAATAGTTCTAACTTTAGCTCCACATGTGAACCTACGTAGACATGCCAATACATGTGTTTCATGCATCTTCTAAATCCTTTTCAATCCATGGTCAGGCCTAGTTTTGGATTAGGAAGCACCTTGGTCTCTCTGCGTTGCCGAGCTGGAAGAGGAAGAAGCAGATCATGAATGGGAACCAGCTAATAGCAGTTGCATTCTGCAATTTAGAGCTTTTGGTCAAAAACAGTTGTCAAGGACAGCACTTTACACAGTACATTTCCACACATGCATCTATTACATATTGGAAGGGTCTGAGCAAAGAAGAAATAGTGGTATGTTCTGACCTTTTCCTTCACTGGTCATCTTTGTTCACTGTCTTCTGACGAACGGTGGCCAGCAGAATTATATTCCACAGCAAAACAGGGGTGAAAGAGTTTGCCAGCTAGCAGACAGGTCTGAGGCTGATTTTGACAGCCAACTTCCACTACCATCCCACATCCCTTGCCAGGTGAAGGAGGCAAAAGCTGGATTTTGTGTTAAGGGCTAAGTCATGGGGACAGGGAGAGGTTTGCAGGACTACCAAGGGAGATGTGCACTGTACTAGGGCAAGGAAAATCCTGGTGTAGGTGAGCATGCGGCCCCAGGGAAAGAAAATACAGTGGTGCCTTGCTAGACAGTTACCCCGCATGACAGTTTTTTTGCTAGGCATTGGCTTTTTGCAATCGCTATAGCGATTCGCAAAACAGTGATTCCTATGGGAGAATTTTGCTGAACAATGTTTGGTTCCCTGCTTCGCAAACCGATTTTCACTAGACAACGATTTTGACAGCTTCCTCCGCACTCACAAACAGGTGTTTTCGGGACCTAAGCTTCGCAAGACAGCGATTTAAATAGCTGATCGGCAGTTCACAAAGCGACTTTCCTATGGCCGATCTTCGCTAGACAATGACAATTCTTCCCCATTGGAATGCATTAAACAGATTTCAATGCATTCCAATGGGGAAATGCTTTTTGCTAGACAGCGATTTCAGTGGAATGGATTATCATTGTCTAGCAAGACACCACTGTAGGCCAAATCAATGTTACTCCCAATTAGAGAGAAATGAATGGGACCTCTTAGTCACAAGTCCCACTGATACTGTCAGTAGAACTCTACTTCAGTTGGGAACTAATACTAGTTAACTCCACTGAAAATTTCAGAAGCCTGGTGTTTCCTAACCCTTTGAAAATGTCAGCCTAGGTGACCCGTTTTGCATCTGAAGTTGAAGAAGGATGTTAAGCCACAGGCAAAGCCAGTTGAGACACCAAGTAGCATGCAAAGCCATCGAGGAGAATTAGTGCAAGCAAGAGCAGGGGGATTTGCTGGTTCTATATGGTTGATCAAGCTGCAATAGTTAATCACTGGTTCAGTCCAGGTTGGACAGCCTGGCTCCTGTGCTGGATGAACTTCGATTGTTGTGGCCTGAGGATGCAGACGAGGGGCTCAGTCCTCCTGGATTCTAGAGTGGTGATACTCGGCTGGGTTCAGAAGGTTTCAAATTTCTCTTCGAGAGAGGAGCAGAGCTCAGAAAAGTCATTCTTTTAGATTATTGCTGTTTTTAACCACTAGCCACACTGGATGTGAGGCTCTCGGTGTTATGGTATAAAAAAAGTAACTTTTCTAAGCCCCAGAGAAGTAACAACAACAGCTTCTTTAAACAAGGTTGGGACAAGATTGCTCCTTAAGAAACCCACTTTGCACTTCAACGCTGAAAACTGTAAATCAGATGTTAGTTTTCCCTTCCTGGGTAAGACGCTTAAAGAAGTGGTTGGTGATCAGCTCCAGACGTTCTCGGATGAAATGCATCTTCTAAATCCTTTTCAATCCATGGTCAGGCTTAATTTGAGATTAGGAAGCACCTTGGTCTCCCTGTGTCACCATGCTGGAAGAGGAAGAAGCAGATCATGAATGGGAACCAGCTAATAGCAATCGCATTGTGCCAAAGCTTGGCCTCGAGCCTGTTTCCAGTGCCAATTCTAATTGTTGGTTTTAATCTTTACATCTCTGAATGGCTTGTAGCAAGTTTCCCTAAAGGAACGTCTGCTCCCATGTTTACTTATTCTGATTTGAGGGTCATCCTTTGGAGCCCTCTTCACGGTGCCTTGGTACTGAATGAGGTGAATTGCTGGCTACAAGGAACAGGGCCTCTTCAGATAGGCTTGCTTGTGGCATTCCCCCCCCCCATGAGGTCTTTGCAGGACCAGGTGAGCCCATTTTCATTAAAGAACAATGTTATTCGTTTTAGGTATTTACAATGTTTTATCCTCGCAGCTAGTATTACTCTTGGTTTTTAGTGGTACATTGTTTTTGTCCCTGATGCTGATTTTATCTTGTCCTCATCATGTGGTGTTTCGTTATCATTGGTTTATTGGTATTTGGGTTTCAGTTTATTTATATACCACCTATGTAACTTTGGTTACTAGATGATCTAAAATGTGATAAATCTTTGGCATGAGGATTGTTCCGTCTCTTGCTCTCTCTGCTTAGATTATCCTTTAGGCAAAAAACTAGGCAAGAGTGGTCTCTTCTGGTCACACCTTCCTTGTGAGGTAGAGCAGGCTGAATGCTGTTTCTTCCTTAATTAACACCTTTGGTCACCTACATTACCACCAACACCACCCTTGGTCTGAACAGAGATGCACATTTAAACCTGCGTTGTTCTTGGGAGAGGGGACACGCAGGAATTGCACAGTCGCAGGCAACACCTTAGGTGTCAATAACTAGCACCTTGTATACATAAAGATGGAACTACTGTAAATGTTATACAGCTGGGAAAGGTTTCTTAAAAACATATTTATCTGCTGAAACTAAAATGGGGGTAAATGTTTGAAGGGAAAGGCCAGTGGGTAGAGGGTGATGAACTTAAAAGACTGCACTCCTCTCCTTCGTATATGAATGAATGAATACTTTATTTTTAACTGTTTTAGCTTACAATAAATCAATATAAAATACATACATGCAATTGTAGTTTCGTAAAATCAGGCAGAATTATAGAATTTCCATTAAAACATGATAAAACAACCTCCACTATCCAGTTAATAACATCGTAAATCCTTAATATAAGTAAAACCTCAGCTAGTGTTATATTAAAAGCATTATATTATCCATCTAAAATCACCTACCCAAACATCTGACCATGAATAACCATTGCTGCAGCACAAAATTTGGCCACTTGTCTCGTAATGGGTATTGTCAGAGAGTAGCATTTGTTCCATACGTAGATCCCGATAGCAAGTACAGGAAAAATACTCTGGTTTCTCTTCAGATCGCTTCAAGCAAGAGGTAGTAAAAGCTCCATATGTAGATCCTGGTAGCAGGTACAGAAAAAATACTCTGGTTTCTCTTCAGATCGTATAAATCTTTCGCCTTTTACTAAAGATTTCCATGGAGAGGAACATTTATGAGTTTGTAACCAATTTTTTGAGGCTCCTTTGTATATGATTCTTATCCTTTTGAAGCTGGGGGAAAATATCAGTGACTTGTGAGGAAGGGTTGCAAATTTTCGGGCAGAGCCTTCAACCTACCCATTGCTTCCCATGGGAACTAAGTTTTCCCCCCTGTGTATCTTTTTAAATAAATTCCTCAACCACCTTATCTTTAAAGTAAAGCCTGCCTCTCCAAACGTTCTGAGACTTTGTCCTTCCTCTTGAAAATTATTCCAATCTTGTGGGAACGGGTTTACATGTTAGAGCTATGAAAGAGACCCAGTTTATTGGAACGAGGGTCAACCTCCGGTGATGGTATGCAGAGTAGAGAAGACAGCAGGTCTGTAAAGGCTTGAATTGGTCTGGCTACATATTTTCCCCTGCAATTCCAGCTGTCCCTCTCCCCAATAATATTATCACTCGGCGAGGATAATTGTAGAAGCGCCATGTTTAAGAATGTGTAAGGCTTCATTGACTTGGTCTGGGGGACACAGAAGAAGCCTCTACAAAGAATATGATGTCTGTGAACACATTCAAATGTTCCCTGGGGACCCTGTCAGCTGTTCCTTCCATTCCAGAAGCACCACGAAGAAGAAGATTTGGACTGTTATGTTCCAGAGGGGGCACGCGTTTTGGATCGTGGAGGAACTGATCTTTATTTATATTTGATTTCACTGTTAATATGTTTGTTCTGGTGATTTGAGGAAATTAACTATCACTCTTGCCTCTTCCTCTTTTAGGCTCTCGCAGAACAAGAGAAAATTGAGCTTGAGGAACAGGCCCTTAAAGAAAAACAGCTTCATGCAAAGCTCGCTGCTGAGAGAGCTGAAGCACGCTATGAAAAACATTATGGAATTTGTTGGGAAGTGATGGAACAAATCATTGATTTAGTGACCAAAATAGGAGAATATCGAACACTGACCAACAAGTAAGTTGCATTGTGGTAGGCTCGTTTGTTTTCATCTTTCTTCTTCAGCTGCTTCAAAAGTGTTGTTGTTTAGTCGTTGTGTCCGATTCTTCGTGACCCCATGGACCAGAGCACGCCAGGCCCTTTAAGTTTCAAAAGTAAGGAAAAGTAAATTTTAAATTACGGGTGAGATACAAGGGGTTGATCCAGCTGACTCAGCTGTTTCTGTCAGCAGAGCAGAGAGTAAGGCAGTCCCCCTTCCCTCTTTTATGCACCGCAAAACTGTCTCTTGAGGTATGGGAAGAACCCTCTGAAGCTGTTTTTTAATGAGGTGAACTGAATGGGGGAAGGGATCATTTGGTAGTGACACCAGATGTGGGCCATTTCTTCCAGAGTTGTGTATTTCCCTTTAGTAGAATTCTCGTCAATGGAGAAAAGAAATTCTTCTTATCATATCTCTCATCAGCACTGTTCAGTTTTGGCATCATCTTGCTATTTTTCAGGTGTTATCCACTTTCCTAAACTCTCCCTCTGTTCTACTTCATCCATGAGATGGAACATTTATAATCGGATTGGTGTAGGGCTAAGTGTTATCCATCTGGCACCCACCTCGTCATGAAGCTGTGCACAGAAATCACTTACGAATAGGCAGTATGTTCATAGTATAACCAAGGCCAAGATGGGCACCTTCTCCTCCTCTCCAATATTACTGAACTGTAACTACCATAATCTTTGGAATTACACTCCAGCAAAATCTGATGGTCTACAAATCTGGCACAGCTGTCCCTGTAAGGAAATAAAAAGTGCCCTTTTTTGGGATTGCTGGAATCCATCCAGTAATCTCTATAAAGGTGGTAGCAAGCAAGGATCATGTTTTGAGAAAATAATTATGGGTGATGGTATACATTGCATACAGATGGATTGTTTTGAGTTCTTAAGAACTGGCATTGTAGCATTAGTCACTCACACTTGTAAAAATCTTTCAGAACTATCAGAACTCTGCCATGTGAAAATGATATAGTTGAACAGTTGAAAATTGTATAGTTTTTAAAGAAATGTAATTCCTGTTCCTAATATCTTCCAGTTTTTTAGAAAGAGAAAAAATATGTGTATTCTACACATTGGGTGACAACTGCAGCCACATGCATATAAATATGCATGACTCAACATCCTTTGACTATAATTATGACATCAGATTTCTTGTTAAACACAAAGTGAAGAACTGGGTGGATGTGGTTGCTGTAAAAAATGCAGTTGCCCCCCAAAAGAAACACAAACACACAAACAACAACCCAAATACTCACTCCCCTGCAGCTGCAAAAACAAACAAACAAAAACACAAACCCTAAGCATGCCTAAATTCTAGTATTATCAGATAATTTTCCAACTCCATTTCCTGGTGCCAACTAAAGTAGACCTACTGAGTCAATCACGTTTTACGTAACTGTTGACTTCACTGATTCAATCAGTCTATTCTAGTTGAGATTAAGAATTGAATCTAGCTTATTAGTAGTAGTAGAAGTTAAAAACTGATGCTTTGAATATTTTATAGAAGCTAATAATGCAATGATTATGATAGCTTACAACTGTTCATTGTCTCAAAGGATGTTGAGTCATGCAGGTTCTGCACCAATTCATTCTTATGTGAATTTAACAGTACAGTCCTGTACATCTTTTTTTTCAGAAGTATAGGGCATTTTGTTTAGGGGAGCTTCCTGTGAGGTATGTATGCATACAACTGTTCTAAATTCTTTATGGAACTGCTGGCATTTCACAGCACCTAGGACAGCAATCAGTGTACTTAAGTATGCTGAAAACCATTTGAGATCACTTTTACTTCAGACCTAGAAAGAGTGACTCTATTGCAGTATCCCAGAAAGAGTCATGGCTCAGTAGGGTCGTGAGCCAGGACCTTTCATATTCCACAACAGTACTATGATGACTACACCTTTTTAAAGTAGAGTTTTTGTTATTGCTTCTTAAGTAGTTTGCCTATATAAGTTCTCACACCAGACTTTTCAAATACATTTCTTGTAGCTTGTAATGGAATGTTTTGTTCCTCTTATTATAAATGAACTAGGATGGAGAGAAAGCCCAGTGAGGTATAGTAGTCAGAGTGTTCAGCTAGGACCCAGGGGACCTGTGTTCAGATCCCTATCAGCCATGAAACTTTCTGATTATGAGATGGCGTGCCTCACAGAGTTGTTGCCGTGAGGATAAAGTGAAGAATAAGGGAACCCTATTATATGCTGCTTTCAGTTCCTTGGAAAAAGGCTTACATAGAAATGTTTCAAATAAAATTTAGTGGTCTGACTGAACTCAAAACAATGAATGGGAAGTGTCCTGCTTAAACTAGAAGAACATGCTGAGATCTGCTTCTCTTCAGATTATTTTTCTTCGTGTTATATATTAGAGATAGCAATTGATCCACATAGTTCTTTAAAAGCATGCTTCAGTCAATATGAGCCCCAATTAGTTCTGCTTGATTTCCACAGCTTAATCCCAGCAAAGCTGATGCGTGACTGGAAGGAGCTATTCTTAAAAGGAAAACCAATTTATGAGCAAGCTGAGATCGACCCTTTGCCAGCTGATCCGACTCCGGAGCAATTAGTAGAACTGGATAAAATGAATTTGCTAGATGAAAAAGATTATGAGGAATATAAGGTACTCCCAACTGACATGGCCTAGTGGAAGAGCATGCTGCCCATAAGACCATTATTCATGACAGCTACCAGTTTCTGTATGGTACACAGGTTTCATATGACACATTTCATGCTAGTTTAAGGTACATTTCTGCATGGTTAAGCATACTTCATGCTCTGTTTTGGAGAGACTAGGTTCTTTGATTCATCTTTTGGAAGAGTTATGCTGTTTAGTTTTTAAAAATGCAGTAACATCAGCATGCAAGACTGTCACAGTTGTGATAAAAGAGTACATACCTATTATTTAAGCAGAGGTTAAACTGTCCTACTTTCCAATGTGCTGGAAAATATAGCAAAAGGAGTGCACAAAACATAATACAAAATAAACATTGCATCTGTCATAGAACGAGTAGTCTTATTTCATACATCACCGTTGACACCCAATAAAAGCTGGTGAATTAATTTTTTTCCTGGTCATAGTTCTTGGTATTTTGAGGTCAGCTTATTTCAGTATTGTGACTATAAGGTAGTTCTGAGAAAGAGCTGTTATTATCCTATCCATTTAAGAACCTTAAGTACTAATATTCTAGTGAAGTGCATCAAATCTTTCCCCTTCTCCCCTCTTTTTGAAAAGCACATTGTGATTACATAAGTGAATATTCATATTTTCTTATACAAGCTTTTTATGTATATCAGGCCAAAATAAAAAAATAAAGAAGACAAAAATGTTGTGGCACATTAAAGACTAACTGCCATGTTTTGATGTAAGCTTTTGTGGACAAATCAACTTCCTCAGACTGCCTGAGGAAGTCTTTAAGATGCCACAATGTTGTTTTCTTCTTTATTTTTATGCTAGCAAGACTAACATGGCTACCTCTTCTAAAGCTTTTTATGTAGTCCCTCTCCATATTTTTCTGTTATCAGCCTCACTGTCTCATGGAGGAAAAATAAACTTTTGATTGGGTTCAATCTTCTCTAAGAACTTATTTACATCTAGAGTACCATCTCTACAAATAGCCTGTGCTCTTTTTATCTTGTTTGGGAAATGAATACCACATGTGTACGTTCTCTTTGTACCCACATCCTGAACAAATTTTATATGCTGTACTGCATTTTGTACCAAGTAGTTAATCTTAGTTAGAAGTTGGTGTGGAGGATGTTTTGATTTAAAAAACAAAAAACTGCTTGCTGCTTTGGTTCTTTTAGGTTTCCATCTTTGCGAGTAAGAGTCCTTTATTTGCTCATGTACCATGAAATATATGCTATATCTGAACAGGAATTTGCCTGGAAAGGAAAGGGCATTTTGCTCACTCAACATAAACATATTTGTTGCATGGTGCTGGATCCAGACTTAGCTATCCTTAAAGTAGACCCATTGAAATCAATAGCTGAAATCTTGTTGTGCAGTTATGCAAATAATGTAACTTTTGGAAGCAAATTGTTGTAAAAAGCAAAAAGTCTCCATATACATTGTCTCTTAACATACTGAGTCACATAATTTTTTTGCTCACTCAACATAAACATATTTGTTGCATGGTGCTGGATCCAGACTTAGCTATCCTTAAAGTAGACCCATTGAAATCAATAGCTGAAATCTTGTTGTGCAGTTATGCAAATAATGTAACTTTTGGAAGCAAATTGTTGTAAAAAGCAAAAAGTCTCCATATACATTGTCTCTTAACATATTGAGTCATATAAATTGGTATGCAACACATAATGCCTATGGAGATTTTACGGCAGTTCAAAAAGATGTGATTTGTGTAACTGTACATGAAGTTTTACACCTCTGACTTGTTATGACTTACTTGTATTATTCAGCAGGTGTTCTATAAACATGTACGTACTGCTTTTATAGCTGATTGTGTATTATTCAGCAGGTGTTCTATAAACATGACAGTCTTGACTTAGTGCGTTATTCTTACTCATACTGCTGTTATAGCTGATTGCCTTTAACTTGCCTTAGTGAAATCACTGGGTACATTATTTATGTAATCTTCCATGGATTTGAGGTGTAGTATTATGCTTAGTTCATATATTGTTAGAGCATCATGGTTACTGCTTTTCCCATAACTGGATCTCCTGAAACACGGTTAGCTTTTTAATTAGGCAAGCATGTATGATTAGATCATCTGCGCAGGATCCATATAAGTGCTAGCACTCCAGAAAGGTCAAACAACAAATGTGGTTCTGCCAGCATTGCCAGAGTAGAAGAGGCAAAATCACCACATTGATGAAATACCAAATGCATTTGTGTAATCTGTGCAGGTAGAAGTGTGGAGTTCATGGTTAAGAAAGGAAAAGTTTTGCTAACTTTTAACAAAAAAAATAAATAATTTAAAGTGATTTTGTTTTACTCTCCTCATCAGTAGATTGCTGCACCATCGGGGAGGGAAAAGATCAATACCCATTAAGAGTTGTCCACGTGAAAGGACAGAGTCAGCCCTATAGCTCTTTGAGCCAACAGATTTCTGATGACTTAGAGGGGAAGCATATTGTTAGTTATTTAACTTTTATTGTCTTTTATTGCTGAGGGAGAAGGAAATACTTGTGGGAATTTCGTCTCTCACTTGTTTATGTTACAAGTGCACACCTGTCCATTGATAAAACTTTGGGGAAACCAATCTCACTGGGCTTGTATACTCATTTGCTTCTGAGCATTCTTTTGGTTGCTGATTGCTATTTTTCTATAGGGTGTCAGTAAAACACTCCACAAAAGGAATCCCAATGTGCTAGTATATACAATAGGGATAGATTTCTTTTGGGAAGTTTTATGTGCACATCTGCATTGGGAGATAAGGACATGGGAAGAATATAGTGGACCCTCAACTTAATTAATCCGTATTGGAATGGTGGCTGCAAGTCGAAAAGTCTGTAGGACGAGGCAACATTGACCAACAATGCATTGAAAACCGATTAATCCATAACCGGCCGTTTTTGTTCCATTTTTTTCCACGACTGTAGGTCAATTCTCCAGTTGCAATTGAACCTAAATTTTGCGGCCAGAGAAGTCTGTAACTCAAAAAGTCTGTAAGTGGAGCCATCTGTAAGTCGAGGGTCCACTGTACTATGTCTTAGCACCTTCTACAGTTCTGTAAATGGTTTGAGAAACCGAGTGTAGGTTGGAACAGTGCAGAGCAACAGAGGAGCAGAACAGAGAGAAGTCAGGTCCTTTCTAAATCTGTACAAGGAGATGTTCTTTGCCACCTTGGAACGATTTTCCAATGCCAAGTGAATTCATTGAAGTTATTGTCCTTGTTTTTAAAACACAGTTTGAACTGTCTCTTGCGTGCATGTGTGTGTGTGCGTGCATGTACTTATCAAGTCAATTTTTACTTATGGCAACCCCTTTCAGGGATTGTCAGGTAGCGAGCACACAGAAGTGGTTTCCCATTCTCTTCTTCTGGATGCATCCAGGGACTGCAATTTGCCCAAGGCCATATAGGCTGGCTCTAGTTGCAAGGAGGTACAGGGGGGAATTGAATTCCCAGTCTTTGGCTCCAGAGCCAGATACCTAAACCACTCAGTTATCCAGCCAGCCTGATTAAGGATATTTGACTCTTAATTTTACTATACAAAGAGAAAGTCTGCTATGCCAAGGCAAGAGCCATAGTTCGCAGGTCTGTGACGGAACTAAAGCCCAAATGACTTGTGGTAAATGCAGAGCTTTAGAGGACTGGGCATTACTTATCAGTAATTCTAACACAAAACAATAATTCCCTCCTAGAAAGAAGGGTTATTATTTGCCTGCATGAGACTCACAATAATTTCTAGCATCTTTTAAAAAGCCTGCTCTGAGTATCCTAGTATATATCTCAGCCTTTCAGGATAGAGTTGTGAACTTACACAGTTTTCATGTTGTTTCCTCCTGTATTTTCTTTTTATTATTAAACAAATATCTTTCAAAGTATTATGTGAAAAAAGTATTAAAGTGTAATACGAAAATATCATGAAAGTGTAAAAAACATTCATTAAAAGACATTAAAGAATTCTTGATTACATTAGTAAAGTCATTTATAAAAGTAAAAAATCTTCATTTTGTAAGAAATATATAAAAGAAAGTTATGTTTGTGAAAAATATATTTCTCTGCCATAATCAAATGATACTAGAATTCACATACCATAATCAACTCCTATCGCTACATTACCTTAATGGCATAAAAATGTTTAGGATGCAGCTACACCGCAGGGGAAAAGTGAATTAACTTTCATTGTCTTGCTGTGAAGTCATAGAATCATAGAATAATGGTATTGGAAGGGGTTTAGAGGATCATCAAGTCCAACCCTCTGCTCAATGCAGGAATCCAAAGCTAAGTGGATCTGACTGATGGTTGTCTAACCTTCTTTTCAATGTGTTCAGTGTTGGATTTCTCATCAGCTTCCAAGGTACAGTAATTAGTTCCAATGTCATACTGCTCTAACAGTTAGGAGTTTCCCCCCAATAATTAATGGAAATTTAACTTCCTGTAACTTGAGCCCATTATCATGTGTCCTTCACTCTGGGATGACTGAGATCAGATCTTGCCCCTCCTCTGTATAAAAATATTTCAAGCATTTGAAAACTCCTATCATATCTCCTATCAATCTTCTTTTCTCAAAGCTAAACATGCCTAGTTCTTTTAGTCTTTCCCCACTGGGCTTGCTTTCCAGTCTCCTGATCATCCTTATTGCTCTCCTCTGCACTTGTTCCAGTTTGTCAGCATCCTTCTTAAACTGCAGTATTCAGAAATGGACACAGTATTATTCAAGATGAGATCTAACCAGTGCCAAACAGAAAGGTACTAGTGCTTCACGGGATTTGGAGACTATACTTCTGTTAATGCAGTCTAGCATTTCATGAATTTACAGTTTACAAAAGAAGGTGCTATGAGGTCATGAAATACCCCTTTTCCTATTTTCCTATCCACCTGTTGTCCATCTTAATCTCATCTCTATGTTTACAAATTACAACCAAAATACTCATTCAGTTGCCAAGACTGATTATACTTCATTGACCTTGCTTTGCTGGAGCTGACTTATTGTTTTGAAATGACTTATGTAAACTGTCTTTTCAGCCAAAAGCTAAAAAGGTACTTTCCCTTTAGAGTAAACTTTGCTGAATCCCCTCCCCCATAATTTTCCAACTCTTTTAACCACCTACAGTTTCAAACCTTGACAATCTGACCTGAGGATCTGAATTTGTTCAAAGTAATAAAGTATTCCTTGACTATTTGTTTATCAATCTCAAGCTACAATCCTGTCCCATCCATCTGTACTTCTCATTTGCCTGGAGAGTCATAGACTGTCTTTTAGGAAAAGACTGAGCTAAAACAGTAATCAAGCACTTCTACCTTTTCTATGTTATCCGTTATCATTTTCCCATCACCATTGAGTAGCTGAGCCAATATTTTGCACTAGAGCATTTGGTTCTCTTCAGTACAAGTGGCCACACAGGCAGAAGAGAAAAAGGCTTCTAATTGCAGTTTTATTTGAAGTGCCTATAGGTGGCATAAATCAAAGGACCTACTTTAAGAAGGCTTTCTGTCCTCACCTTGTCCTGCCTATAAAATAGATTGTTAAGCTGTGAAACAAAAATAAACAGGGACTGTCCAGGAGAAGTTGTTTTTTAAAAAAGTATCTTGGGAGAGAGGCTTTGCTGAGAGAGATGATTGCAGGTGCTGCATGTATGTATGTCTGCGCGCGCACTCTCTCTCCCGGTCCTCCCTCATGGGGGAGGAGATAAGGGAGAAGGTGCTTTGCCAGAGCACCACATTGTATGTGTGCACGTGCATCTCTGATCTTTCTGCTTTGGAGGATGTAGGACTCTGAGCTGATTTTTTTTTTCTGTGCCAAGGTGGTCTAGGGCTAAATTGGTATATCAATACAATGACTCAGTGTTGAATTTGTTTATTCAAAAAAAACACATCTGGGACACTTGGGGGTTAGATCAGTGGGGTGAGTGTTCCTGTAGTCTTTAAACATCATGCCTCAACTGCTTATGTCACCACCAACAACACCCAAAGACCTGCCCTCCTGTCATTTTGCAGAACAAAACAAGTGCTTGCATAGAGAAAAGTATTTCTGAATTGTTCCAGTTTGAAAAAAGTAGAAGCTCCCCCAGCGGCTGAGAGAAAACTCTGCTTTGAAAGCGAAAAGAGCCAAACTGATTCGAATTGGCTGCCGTATCATGTGATCAGTTCTTTAAAAATCAAATTCATGTTGTATCCACAGCAATTTGATCATGTAATTGCAGCATTAATTACCAATGTCCAGTCCATGTCCTCCAACTCCTTGATTTTTCTGGCTGAATTTGTTCCCTTTTTGTATGTTTTCTTATAAAAAGGGGCTGTAGGAACCCAAGGTTATCTCTTAACAGCATCTAAGCTGTGCAAGGAGGCAGGGGAGAGCTGGCCAGGCTACTTCCATGATTAGCACAACAATGAAGACAATATATGTGCACACCATGCCACAACCCATGAGTGGATCGGCCGGTTTG